TAGTAGTGTGTGTGTGTGTGTGTGTGTGTGTGTGTGTGTGTGTGTGTGTGTGTGTGTGTGTGTGTGTGTGTGTGTGTGTGTGTGTGTGTGTGTGTGTACGCGTGCGCATAAGATTATACATGCATAATGTATATTGAAATATGTATATAAAAAAAAAATATAAATAAAATATGTGTAAATAACATATGGATATATAAATATGATTTAATATTAGATTAATAATCTAATAAGTGCTAAAAATAAATATAAACTTACCTCTAAACGTTGTAAAAGTAAATCCAGAATAACAAGAATTTTATTGCTTAATAAAATAGCTTCTATATTCTCGATATTTCCATTAATCCCTGCTTTGTAAACTCGACATAGCAATGTGATTGCTCTAAAATTTCATATACATAGAAAATATTTCACAAAATTAATTGGCAAATTTTACTATATTATACTTACTTATTCGGGAAAATGTAAGATGCATTTTGTGTATTTAAACCTAAATTTAATAAATTTGTTAAAGTGTCAAATCCATTTAAACACCTAAAAGCATCTTGATCGAGTGGACACTGTAATAAAATAAACAAGATATAATTATGCGAGAATGCATAAAGAATGTATTAATCTTTATCACTTTATCAAACACCCGCACCTCCCCCCCCCACCACACACACACACACACAAAGATAAATACGTTACGTTATGTTTGAAATTTACCGATTTGGAGAAGGCTCGAACAATTCCCCCAAGCAGCGTTCCAAGGCAGCCAGCGCTATATTTGACCACGCTGATTTAGAATGATTATTATATAATCTATCTAATTCTTTCAAATTGCGTCGGAATTTGACTTTATTGATTGATTCGATGGATAAATTCTGATTAGTCTCACTTTTATATTTATCCTCCCATTCCTGTCCACGTGTGCTCATGCGCTGTTTTATTTTTCTGCATCGTCGTTTCAACGCTTTTTGCTTCTCTTTTGCAGCCTTGCTGTTGTTCACATTATTATTATTGACTACAGTTACAGGAACATCTCGTATTTGTGCGATATTAAAACGCTGAAGTTCATCTCGCGACGGCTCGCGATTATCATGCGCATTTCGTACCGCTTCAATATGAGTTTTTCCCTTTAAGTGGCTTAGAAGATGCACTTCGTTAGATATCTATAAAATATATAAGTGGAATGTCTCGTTAAAAAAAAATTGGATTGCGCAATTGCAGGAGATACTTACAATCGTACCACATAGAGAACATTGTTTTTGAGCGGGATACGACTTGAGGGTAGGTGATACTTCTTCCGATCTTAAAATTGAAGACTCAACTGCACGTTGCCGAATATGCTCGATATTTTCTACATGTCGCCTGGCGGATTCTTGCTGCTTTTGCGCTATTTTTTTCTGTAATTCTTCTTGATTAGCCAATTGAGCCGCGTGAAGTGCCGACAAGCGTTCTTCGCGATCTCGTGCCTTTTCCCTTGCTAATTCCTATAAAATTAAAATGCATAACTTAAAAACTCTGTTTAAAAAATAAAAATATCTTGATGGTATATAAACAATTTATATACCTGTCGTTCCTTTTCTCTTTCGAGCTGCATTTTGCCTACTCTTTCTTCGCGCTCTCGTCGTGCCTGTTTCATTTTTTGTATACGTAACTGCCTTTCTGCTTCCAAAGCTCTTCGACGTTCTTCAGCTGCAGCTTCTTTGGCAGCTTTCTCTTCTTGACGACGTTGACGTTCTTCTTGAATACCCTATATAATTATATTTGTTAAAAACGTAATAGTATGTACTATATATATATCGATAATTTCTCTATAAAAATCCTAAATTTTGTTATTAAAAAATTTATTACTAAAAGTGTATTATCTGTTTACGAATATGTACTTGCAATCTTTCTTCTTGTTCTTGACACAATGCCATAAAATCATGTCTCTTATTTTGTGCCTCCAACTCATTGATGAAAGCTATTTCCTTCAACTTCGAGTCCTCATCATGTGCTTTCCTTACTATTTCTAACAAATGTTGCGTCCTGTTTTCCTCCGCTCTTTTAAGCTTCATTTCCATTCTAATCCTCTTGTCCTCTATTAATTGACTTTTTGCACTTTTGACGTCTTCCACTTTATTCAATAGTTCTCGCAATCGTTGCGATTTCTCCATAAGCAACTTTTCACGTTTATGCTGAGCACATGCTTGTCTTACTTGATACCTTCTTAATGTTTCAGGAAGCGATCTCTTTCGCGATGGAGATGAAAGTTTCTGATGCAGTTCCAAAGCACGCCCGGGATGGCGAGCCACCAATGCACGCAATTGCGCAAGTGTATCAACTCGTTCTGCCCAAGACATTCCTTCCAACATATTTTCATACCTGTAACATTCATTTTGTCGACAAAAAATTTGGCAATCCTCTCGAGATATTAAACAATAGTTTTTTATTTACCTATCTTCTAAACTGATATCATCAGCAACCATATTGAGCGATACTGTAGGTTCATCTTCCATTTCGAGAACCATTTCACCATCTGTTTCATCCGTTTCTGTATCTACATCAATTTCAGTAGATTCTAATTCTAAAATCTGCCGTTTTAAGGATGCTTCTTCGTCCGACAATTGCTGAGATCTTTGAGAATCTGCTTCTTCCGTCTTTCTCTCTTCTTCTAAGATGATTCTTTCTCGTTCTGCTTGAGCGGCCATAAATTGTTGTATGCGTTTCTCAAGTAATTCAGCATCATTTTTAAAGATAGCTGCGATTACTGACGTTGAATTAGTATCACACAGAACTAATGTGTTTTTTTAAGTGTATCTTCAAGATTACTTTTAATCGTAGGTGTTATAAATTCTCCTTTCACCTTCTCAACCTCGTTATTCATATTTTTGCCAGTTTTTCCTACAATACATTTTTTCTTTTGTTTGCTGTTTCCATCGGGAGTGTAACTAGTCTTCTTCATCTTTTCTGATGGACTCTCTATTGATAAAGCTGGTAAGGATAGTGCAGTGCTTGGTTTATGAAATCGTGTAGACATGTTCAAATTATGAGTGCTCCCTCTTCTACAACGATTCCTTACTATTTGCCAGCCATCACTTTCATCTTTTAATTTTGAAGATACTGTTTGCTTGGTTAAAACTTCTACTGATCCGTTCATATCTTTATTCTGATCTTTCTTTAAAGTGTTTTGTTCAGATAACTGAAAAAAATATATCATTTATACGTGACATAATTTTGAATTCAGTTGTTGATTAATTTAGATTATGCTATTTTATACATATATAGAATGTATCATATAAAATTTATAAAATCTTTTCTCCAAAACTATTAAAGAATGTGAAGAATCTTTTTTCTTACAGTTTTTGTGATTTATTACTGATTTCTTTAAGGCTCGGTTGTCTCTCTGCAGCCATATTGAATTATGACGTCAGAGGCGAAAAATGACGTAAAAGTTTCTTGCGTCGTATAGCTTTGTCCTGTACTTTTTCCTTTAAAAACATGATATTTCGTATTCTTAAAACTTGTAAAAAATACTAGAAAGTAAGATATCTGTCCAATAAATCACGTAAAAGTGTAAAATAAATCTTGAAATAATGGTATATTGCTTAGCTATCAAAAATTACCAGATCACTAGATCTAGTTTGTTAGCTGACCATTACTTTAAGAATTATTTTACACTTTTACGTGATTTATTGGACAGATATCTTATTTTCTGGTATTTTTTACAAGTTTTAAGAATACGAAAATATCATGTTTTTAAGGAAAAAGTACAGGACAAAGCTATACGACGCAAGAAACTTTTTACATGTCATTTCTCGCCTCTGACGTCACATAACCCATGTCACGCCGCGAGAGAACCGAGCCTTAAATGACAGAGAAACTATCGTCATTGATTCTTTCAGAAAGAAATAAAAAAGACAATACCTCTTTTTTTTTAAATGAAGTTATATAATTTTTTTTATATAATATTAAAAATATAATATCATTCCTTTAATCATTTTGCATGTAAAAGTATTAAAGTTATCAAAAAATGAATAATTTAAAAGACATTTTACATTTCATAAATTGTTCTTTTTAAATATATAAACTTCAAGTAGCTTATATATTTTATGACAAATTGTGCACGCGCGCGCGCGCGCTTGTATGTCCATTTTTTTATAACAATTTTATAACCTTACTATTTTTATGCATAGACTAATAATTTGAATCAATTAATGTAAAAAAAAATATAATTGTTTTTCAAAAAATATATAATTGCATATTGCATAATTTTTAAAAAAGTTATGTATCTTCTTTACATTCATTATCTCATTATTTTTTCAGAGATACTTTATATGAATATATTATTAATCACAAGTTTATAAACAAATTCCACAAAAAATTACATATATAAAACTATTAATAAAAACAATATACAAAATTTCTATATAGTCTCAAAAATGAAAATTTGTTTCTTCTTTTGCTATATATGTATTCTTATAAGAAAATATATATTTTGAAAAATACCTTATTTTCAGTACTTTGAAATCGTCCTCCCACAATAACAGATGTCCCAGATTTTCTTTTGTTTGAAGCAAATAAATTTTTGTCGCTTAAGCAAGTTTTACTTCTAATAAACTTTGGAGTTTCAGATGAAATCAACGACTGTACTTTGGACGACTGTTCTTTTGTTTGCAACACAGTTGAATAGACAGATCTGTTTGTATTGATTACCATGGAGCTTTTATCTACATTATTAGCTGACGTATTTTGAATATCCTTAGTATTCAATTTATCGCCAATTTCATGGGAATGTTTATTTATTTGGCAATTAACTTGATTTATCTTTTCTGAAGTCTGAGCAACAGCTGCTTTTGCGGTTAACTTTTCAGTATTAATGTTACTTTCAGTATTAATGTTACTTTCACATTTCCTGTTATTTTTCTTAACTTTGGTATTAATTTCATGGCATTTTTTTCTCAGTCCGGTGTTATTTTGATTACACGCTAATTTGGTATCCATGTTTTTCCTACCTACCTTATCATCCTTAACATTCATCTCATTAATTTCCCTTTGCATAATCTCACAATTAGTGCACGAACTCAACTGAACATTTGTATCATTTCTATATGTTTGTTCTCGTTTATCGTCAGATAAATTAGAATCAACTAGTCTTACGCAGTTGCCATGTAAACAGTCTTTTGTTTGTTTCGAAGTATTTTTAACATCTGTCTTATTCTTAAAATCAAGTGACGTTACACTGTCACTTAATATCCTGCGATCCATAAAACTATTTGTTTTAGATTGCACTGTTTGCTTCACAAAAACTTTATTGGGTGCTTTCGTTGATGTAAACTTTCCCTTATTCGCTGTTTGATTTCCTGCCTTGTTCATTCCACTTTTACGCTTCTCTTTAAAATCAGAAGAACAATTCTTGCAAACGTTGTTCTTATTATCTTTCAATAATTTATGAACAAACTCTTCTTTCACATGATTACCTTTATTGTCTGTTGTAATCGGTTTACTTTCACATATCATTAGATCAACTGGACTTTTACAGACTGACTCTGTCGGACTTGCTCCCTGCAGAGGACTAGTGGATTTTGAAATTATAGTTGAATTCCATATTCGACAAGGTGATGTTTTTCTAACTTCCCAAGCCAATGGAGTACGTCGTAATGGCGGTGGTGAACTCTCGTAAGCCCATTTAACTTTAAACCACTCTATCAGATTATGAAAGTCACGAGTGTAATTCTCCAGCACTAAAATAACTTCTTTGCATTCAGAAATATTTTCATCCTCTTCACATGTCTGATAGATACCATCAACCGCTCTTTGTAAATTTCCAAATAGAAATGCCCAATATCGTGCCTGTAATTCTAAACAGACATGCTCTCGATTAAAAGTTGAACAATATAAATATACAATTTCTTCAATAATTAAAGATGTCATAAGAATTCACTCTTAATTATTCAAACAGATTATAGATTTATAAGAAAAATGTTATCACTTACCAGACTTTTTATCACGACCTGTGGAAGCAGATCTTACTCTCGTAGTTGTTGGTTTCATAGATCGTTTTGTCGGCAAACCTGATTGTGTTTGCCTCGGTATACTAGGTGGCTTCTTTGTAATTTTCTCCATATTGTTTGTGCCAACAGGTACGTTAAAAGCTACCAAATTCCTGGCTGCACGACCCTCCTCTTGGATAAGCAATCTGACATCTGCCATTTTTCACAAATATCTAAAATAATAATCTATAATTAGTGAAGACAAACTCTTAAAATTGATAAATGTATGACTATCGAATAGCATTCGACAAAACTCAAGAAATGGAATAAAATACATTGTAATGTTAAGAAATGACAAGTATATATACACAATGTAAAATAAGAATGGCTGTTATTCGTGTATGAGTGGACAGTTCATGCGATCACAAGGCTGTGAGCAAGGCTGACAAAAGTAAAATCAATCATTGCATCGATATCACGATGACACGATTTATATCCGATCATTTCTAACCAATGCAGATTAATTTTTCGGTTTATCTTCTAATTTTTAGAATTAAAAAAGATGAAAAATAAGCCAAGAGTTAAAGTTAATTTATATTGATAGAAATGAGTATTATATGTAGTGTTATCAGATTGAGTACGAGTAGTATGTCAATGCGAATGACATGGATACACGCGTAAGACTCAAAATAAATGCAATTTCCATCTGACGTAACGTCAATGCAATGATGAAAAAGTTGCATCCCGCACAACTAACATTCGCGGAACTATACGAAATCCACTACAATGTTTCCAACAATACTCGCCACCGTCCTGTCAAATGCTGTGAAGTTTGATACATATTTACACACATGCGTCATGCATAGTCCACCTTTCGCTCTGACTGCCGATTATGTTAGATCGTTAAACGATCACCCGTATCTCGTGTGACTATATCCCAAGAATGGCATTTGAGAAACGGTGCGTAATAACATGTCACGCGTAATATCACATTCCAAACGAATAAACACGACCGCGAGTTTCATGGCTCTCCATTGGTCACACTGACCGGTAGAGGCATAGATCTTACAGTATTGGATACGTCTTCTGACTAAAATTGAGATCCGAGTTGGTCCGAGAACGAGAGAGTAATATCTTATATCCTTCTTTATCGCGCACTTTTGAACACTGAAGGATAGAAGATACGACACATCTTCCGTCTCTTTCCATCTAAGAGAAAAGGCATATCTAATATTATATAAGATCTATGGATAAGTCCCGGTCTACAATAAGTGATTTAAGCCTTAAGCCGTAAGAAATGAACGAATTATAGTCGAAGAATAGGAGAATACTCGACTATGATTGGTCAATTTCTTATGACTAAAGGCTTAAATCACCTATTGTAGACCGGGACTTAAGTGTACACTTTTCGAACGAGTTCAGCCAAAAAGAACAGACCTATGATTGGCATGCATCAGGCGTCAGTCAGCGTCACTGCCCACTGTTGTCGGTGTGCTTTAAATTTTTGGTGGAAGTGTGTATATTTAAGATTATTTTTCTCGGTTATTATATATCAACAACAATTCGCAAATATGGATAATGACAAGAGCACTATGCTAGCTGTTCTTCAACTTTTGAAGAAATACAATTTAAAGGTAAGTCAAAAGATATCCTATCTATCATTTCTAAATTGCTTCTAGCTTAATCTATGTTTACCAGTTTCGCAGTAATAGTCTGCGAAAAATAGATTAAGATTCGATCCTCATTTTATGTTTTATGTGAAGCCGAAAATTTTGCAATTTTTAAATTTTAATCAGAATTATTCAATGTTAAATAACCTATACACGTTAAAATCTTTAAATCTTGACACTTAATCTCAAAAATTACATAATAACTATGTTTACAATGATAATCTAGTTTGACAATCTAGTTAACAATTTTATATATAACTGTTGATGAAATACTATATAATGGATAATTTACATTGATGTTTCATCTGTTGTTATATTTTTAAGAAATGTAAAAATATAAATAATGTAATTTATCTTTGTAATTAATCTTGGTGTTATTATATCTTTTGAAGTAACATCAATGTAAATAAACTATTCTTTATATAATATCTTACGTTAGCAATTATAATTATTGTTGTCACTACCTTATTAACCTTATTATCATTATTATATGAATATAATTGTAAAAAAATATAACAAATCTTATATGCAATTATATTACAAGTATAAGTAATTATATACAAGTGACACATATGCTTATATATTTTATATTTTCAGGGAACTGAGGAGTTATTTAGAAAAGAAGCTAATCTCACGGATGTTTCACTTGATGATGCTCAGCAAACTGATTCTGATGTGACCAGTGTCCTTTCCGCTTATAAAAGCGAGGGAGATCCTGCACAATATGAAAAAGCATATAGTGAATTGAAAAAATTTGTTGAAGGAGCTTTGGACATTTATAAGGTAAGCCAATTATTTTTAAGATTACTCCTAACAAATACAAGCAAATATTTTAGATCAAATATAATTGCATAAATATACAAAACTTTCTCAAACTTCGAGTATAATTAAGAAAGTATATGTATGGTATGTGTATGTGTATGTGTGTATGTATAAATTTTTTTACTTGAGAATTATTATAATCTTGATATTTGTAAGATTTTCATTTAAAATGATCTCAGCATTTTGTCAACAATATAAAGTCTGGTATTTTTTATATATTCTGTATATTATCTAATGTTACATAAATTATAATGATATATCTAGCAATTTATATTTATTATTGTATATATAATGATAGCATGAATTGGGAACTATATTGTATCCAGTTTTGGTGCATATGTATCTGGAATTGGTTTACAACAATCATTCTAAAGAAGCAAAACAGTTGATGGAAAAGTTTGGTACGAATTTAGAAGAATATTATCAAGAAGATTTGAAAAGAATATCCAATGTAACGAAACGGGAACAAATGGCGGGGAATGAGTTAACCGATACATTTAAGTAAGTATAAAAATAATTGATATGCTCAAATTATAACTTGAAAACATCATTGTAATTTATCTATTTGCAGATCCAATCAATTTATAATCAGAATGTCAAGGGATACTCTTTCAATACTAAAACGGCATTTACAAGAAAAGAAACACAGTGTATTGCTAAATATTATACAAGAGCATCTTTACTTTGATATGTATGAAGGTGTTGCTCGTAATAAACAACAGATAGACGCAACATCTGGAGCTATGGTAGGAGAAGCTACCAGACAAGGTAAAATGATTTTGTATCTAAAAAAATGAATTCTTCATTTTGGTACTTTATCGAGAAGATGTTTATCAACAAAATTGTTATATTGTAGATAACAAAGCCAAAGTCTATTATGGACTTCTAAAAGAACCAGATATTCAGTGTGTAGCACCAGCCGAGGAAGAAGAGGACGATACAGGTGGTGGAGATGGAGACAAACCAAAGAAGAAAAAGGCTAAAAAGGATCCATTATTTTCAAAGAAAACTAAATCCGACCCTAATGCACCACCTGTCGGAAGAATGCCATTACCCAATTTGTACGATAAATATATCTTCCAGATTTTCTTTAATGATTACTTAACTTCTATCTTCATTAAAGAATCGACAAAGAATCGCTTGTATATTTCATATAACTTATATTTTATGTAGGAAAGATGCAGATAAAGTAGAAAAAATTAAGTCATTGAGGGAAGCATCAAAAAGAGTTGTCCTTGGACCTGATACATTACCATCTATATGTTTTTACACATTATTAAACACTACTTATACGTAAGTACACATAATTTTTCTTTCAATATCCGCTTGCATGTAAAATCTTTTGTACAATTTAGTGTAACGGCAGCAGAAGTGGCAGAAGACTCGAGTTTATTAGCTACTGGATTTAGTGATTCCGGTATAAAGATATGGAGCTTGGTTCCACAAAAACTGAGGTTAATGAAAAGTGGTGAACAATTACAAGAAATTAATAGAGAAGCAGGTGATGCATAAAATCGAGATAGAAATCAATATTTTTTACTTACATTCTAAAATGTATAATATATTATAAAATTTTACAGAGGATGTATTAGTTAGAATGATGGATGAACGAACATCTGAAACTGCAAAAAATCTCTATGGTCATAATGGGCCAGTTTATAGCCTTTCATTTAGTCAAGATAGAAATCTTCTACTTTCATCATCAGAAGATACTACAAGTAAGATTTACGCCATATAAGGCGTTGCTGAAAAAAAAAAACTCGAAAATTAGGAATATTTTTATTTTAAATCTCATATTTTATTGAAAGACTTGGGAAATTTTTTTTAAATTTTATATCAGAAAATATTAGTCTTTTTGATATTAGTTTCTTTAATAATTTTGTCTTTATAATACTTTGTACAAGATATCAGCAAATATCAATAAATAAAGCGGCTATTTCTAAATAGCATTTAAAAATTTTCTAATTTTATGTAATTTTTATAAAATAAATAATCTAAATTTTAAAAAATAAAAAATCTAAAAAATATCTAGAAAATTCTTGGAGGAATATTCTCAAAAAATGTTCATATAAAATTTGAATTGATATTATATTATTATTTAATATTTATTCGACCTTATTATTCTTATGTATTTATGCAATCCAAAAGAATAATGTACATTTATAAAAAATGTATATAATACTTTATGAATATTTTAGTAAGACTATGGTCACTACATACATGGACATGTGTCGTCTGCTACAAAGGTCACTTATTTCCCGTGTGGTGCGTAAAATTCTCACTGCATGGTTATTACTTCGCAAGTGCCTCAAATGACAAAACTGCCAGATTATGGACAACTGATTCTCATCAGCCGTTACGAATATTTGCTGGTCATTATTCGGACGTTGATGTAAGATTTAACATTTGACATTCATTTATATATTTGCTCGACATTTATATATATGTAGTTATTGTTCGACATTTATATATATATAGTTACGACCGCTATTTTATTATCTTTGTAGGTAATTCAATTCCATCCAAATTCAAATTATGTTGCAAGCGGTTCAAGCGACATGACTGTGAGATTGTGGGACTGTGTAACTGGCAATCAAGTCCGCTTAATGACTGGACACAAAGGACCAATCTTTTCTTTAGCTTTCTCAGCAGAGGGAAGATTTTTAGCTTCAGCTGGCGCAGATCATCGTGTACTCGTATGGGATTTGGCACACGGTCACCTTGTCGCAGCGTTATCGGGTCATACGGCTAATATTCACTGTCTATCGTTTAGTCGAGATGGCAATATCTTAGTTTCGGGTATTTATTCTATTCAATAAGTTTATGTAGATAAAATGAAAACGTAGATAAAATGGCAATAATCAACTGTATCATTTTGTTTAGGATCTTTAGATTATACTCTGAAATTGTGGGACTTTACAAAATTAGCGGAAGAAATGAGCTTGGAGGATGTTAATGTTTCACACAATCCAGATGTGAAAACTAATTCGGAATCGTACCTACTGCGTACTTTCGCAACAAAAAGCACATCTATTCTGACATTGCATTTTTCGCGTAGAAATTTATTGCTAGGCGTCGGCATGTTTGACTCAGCATAATCGGTAGTGTCTTAGAAATTTATTGTTTTATATACATAAGAGACTTAATATACATGTACAAAAAAATTTGAAATTATTGAAATATATGTATAAAAGTTATTAAAAATAATAAATAAATTTTTCACATTTATTATTCTTGTATCTCATTATTATAAATATTCAATCGCATTTTTTTGTATGCAATAAATTGCGATAAGATTCGAAGAAGTGTTATATTTTATTAGATATCAGCGGTTTTTGAAACCGGTTTGCTCACACATGTGCGTTTGATTACAGTTTAAGTAAAAAAGCAACAGCAGGCTAGGCTAGAGGATACATTACGATCGATAATTTGTGCGAATTTGCAACTCACGGTAGCGAGCAGGTGAATGGGTGAACGACGGTCGATGTCGTTTCGCAGTAATAAGCGCCGTGCGACAGCAATACATACATACATACATACATACATACATACATACATACATACATACATACATACATACATACATACATACATACATACATACATACATACATACATACATACATACATACATACATACATACATACATACATACATACATACATACATACATACATACATACATACATACATACATACATACATACATACATACATACATACATACATACATACATACATACATACATACATACATGCATACATATATATACATACATATATCATACATACTGATACACAAACGCAGAGGTATGTAGGAGAGGCCGGTCGGAGCAAAGTTATAGCGACAGAAGAAAGATAGGAGAGGGAAATGCGATGCCAGAGAGAGGAAAGTAAGTAGGCCGCCCTCTCCGACATTCCTGTTTTCACTCTGGGCATCGTCTTTGTCGAGATAGTTGCATTTTACCTCGCTTTCGACGATGGACGACAATAGTACAGCGAGGTTAGGTAAGTCCGACGCGGACTTATTTACATTTCGTCAAGATGACATATGTTCCATACTCTCGAGATATCTCTCTCTCTCTCTCTCTCTCTCTCTCTCTTTCTCTCTTTCTCTCTTTCTCTCTGTTTGTACATACCTTTTAAAATGTGAAATTGTAGCTACAGATGGCTATGAAATGGTTAAAGCCCTGTACGATTTCAAGGCCACATTTGCCAAGACTCTCAGTTTCCGGGAAGGTGAGTATTTCATCTTGCTGCAGCGTAACATCAAGCAAAAGAATTGGTGGCAGGTTGTAAACAGAGGAGGACGTTTGGGCTATATACCATCCAATTACGTTTCCTCCGTGAAGGTGGGTGGAACTCGTGTATGGAATTTGTTCAAATACGAATATAATCTGTATCGTTGATTTAGGCGCAGCCCCAGTTTTTGATTGATTTTTTGGAAGACTGTATATTGACTTTGGAAACGGAAATTAGTAAAGATAGCGACTCGATACAACCCGAAAAGCAAGATCTGTTGGCAAAGCTAGTAGAAAAGAAGAGACAGGTTGAATTGAGCAGAAAGTCCAAAAGACAAGCGCCTAAACCGCCAGATTTAGACTATGGCATTATACGTAAAGAAACACATTCCACAATTGCCTGTGACAATACAGAAACAGATATTAAGTCAGCACCAAGCAATACCTCCTATGCAACAGCACAAACTGTTTGTAGCAATACAAATGCAGATAACAGTCAAGCAATTGTGCAATGTCAACGATCAAATGGGGACGAACGGCATATACAATCACTTACTTGTCAGTCATCTTTGGATACTATGCAGAAAGTCCAGTCACCAATCGCAGACGTTCATAAAAGCGCCTCTCAGGGCAGCATACAAAATTTATCTAACAGTTCATCAGTCAAAAATAATTCCCTAACTAGGAACAGTTCCCCGGTTAAGAGCAATTCTTTGCAAGCCATTAACTCGCGAAGCGCTTACCAGCTTCTTGATCAAGTACGCAAAAATACTCAACTTAGTCATGAAATGTCAAAGGTAGCAGTCACAGTTGTAGTGTCTAATCTACGGCAGTTGCTGCCGGAAACTGTAAGTCATTATCTGGATGCTTTGATGCATCAGTTGCAAACACCATTGACTGTATCAAAAATGAGTATAGAAGAAACTTATGATGCTAATAGATTGAAAATTATTTTTACTGAATTGACTTCGTGTAAAGAAGACTCACAGCAAAGAAGCTGGATGCTTTACGAAGATGAATCTATTATTGTGGAATATATCAAAGAATTGACTGAAATATTGGTATGTTTTTTTATTTAATAAAACAATAAAAATTAGTTAATATTTAGCATTAAATTTGAATTTTAATATAATATTTTTCTTCAATTCAGAATTTGTTCAAGTTATAGTTAATTATAATAAATTAGTATAATTAATTAATCAGTGAATACATTTAAAAATATACGAATATTTAATTGTGCCACATTTCTTTTATGCAGATTATGATTAGTTAACACTAATATACATATAATTTATTATTAAATTATTATTAAATAATTAATATTCATGTATATTTTTTTTTTTAAACAGACAAATGCAGACGCGAATGTGTCAAGACATGTTTTGAGGCAAGATCGATATAATGGCGTAACAATATTGATACAGTATTATCAAATGGAGACAAGATGGACCATTAGACAATTGTTGTTGCAATCATTTGGTGTTATGTGCAGTTTGGATCCAGTAGTTCTAACTATAATGTTAAATAGTATTTTACCAATGGAACTAGCAAGGTATTTAGAAGATATTTGTAAATTACAATTTATAATAATGAAATATACAATATCCGTAAACACAATCATTAAATCTCTAATGTTTTTGTAGAGATATGAAGAGTAATCCCAGGAATGTATTAAGATTAAATTATTCTTCGTTACTACTTACAATGATTTTTTCAATGGGTGAACCCATGCCGGTTACACATTTGGGTCAGTAAAATACATCATACATCATACAACATAAAATAAATAAAAATTGACATTTTTAATCTTTCTGTTCTGGGGAAATAGGTTGGGTCAGAAGGGATAACCGGACAAGAAATTATTCAATTTATCTAACTTGCAAATAATAAAAATAAGTTGGAAATGTAAAAAAATTTTTTATACAATGCTTCGTTTTCGAGATAACCGAATGTGAATATTAGTTGGAAACGCGTATGCGTCCACTTGTTTTATTTCAAACTTAATGAACTTTATTGTACACAACGTTAATTATTAGGATTATTATGACTAATATTAATAACTAATAACATATTAATTTTTAATGTATTTTAATAATTTTAAATTACATTTATTAATTAATCGGAATTATTGTTATATTTCCGTTGTCTGCAGAGTGTTGCTTAACGAATCAAAAAAATGTATACTGTTCGTAACGTATTTTGAATCTTTAATTGAATCTTTAAATGCTTGTGCAATTATCTCTTTTAGTTAAGAAAGATTTTTACTATTTCTATAAGTTTTTGTTATTTCACTATTTGGAATTTTCAAAGTTGATTATTTCGGGAATAAAGCATTAAATAAAAAAATTATTCTATTTTTGTATATTGAATAATTTCTGTTTGGTTGTACTACCCATGTTGATCTATTCTGCTGATACATTCTGCTTCAATAATCATGCGTCGAGTACTATTTGGTCTTGAAACGCAATATTTTTGCCAAAGCAGAACTTATATAAATTTACAAAAAAAGATATAATTAACTATAAGATCTCAGTGGTCAAAAATCTCATATTTTCTGTGATATGTAAATATGAAATATACATTGACTGATATTTATTCGTTAAAAATTGTATACAGAGTGTCTTTAAAGTCTGACCGAGGTCCTATATCTCGAAAATGGCTTTAGATAACTTTAGAGACACTCTGTATTAATTAAAATAAGAATAATTATATAATTAAAAATAGAAATTAAAATATATATTTTTTTATTAACTCTGTTATAGAGCAACTTGGTACAGATTTTATATCATTTCTGCTGGACCTAATAGAAACACCCCCCGACACAGATCTAGAAGATCAAATCCCAGACTTGTTCGTAAATTTAATATTATCCTACAATCTACAATTTACATCCTCTGAAAATATTGTTCTAAACACTTTACGTGAGCGGACTATAGCCAAGACTTTTACCGAAAAAATTTTATTTCTTTTTAACAGAGAAGGTAAATGTTATGTAAATAATATGTATGTGTATGTTTGTATATTTATCTCGAGTATGACTGCATGAATGAACAAACTTTTAACTCGCCAGAGGATCCGGTCCGAATATTTGATCACGAACCACAACCGCCGCACTCCGTATTGAAACTTTTTGTCGACTTGTTTAGCAATGATGCTATAGCAAGTCTCTTTTATACCAACGATGTAAAAGTACTTATTGACATTATATTACGGCAACTTTTTGACATGTTTCCAGGTGATAAGGTATTAAATTATATCATGATAAAGAAAACTCACATCAGACTCATTAAAAATATCTTAGATTTCTTAAATTTCTCATCTTTCATTTCTATCCTTAATATACAATGACAGCGTAGACAGTATTTGGAACTTTGCCGTCGAGTTCTACGTACATCCAACTATAACGAGCATCGCCATCGATCTGGAGATTTGTTAAAATGTTTCACAAGGTAACAGTTTAGAGTTGTAAACTACATTATTTATTATAAAAATATTTTTACACTTCTTAATTATATATACATTTTATACTTTGTATTAGGATATTTTGCGAGGAAACAACCGAAAGTCATGAAGACCAACAAGTAGTACGCGAAATTAGTAACGAATTTCCACACTTGTTCAGAATGTGACATTTAATTCCACCGTCCAATCAAGATTTGGATGACGATGACTTGCAAACTCTTGTTTAAGTAGATTCGAGAATTCAGCAAAAGTAGAGAGAAATCAAATTCATGACAAGTTTTATTGAAAGTCTTATGACTTCTCTATACTTCATCTATCAAAAAAAAAAACGCACATAGCTTATGAAATAATATATTTTATGACTGCCATAAATGTCTTCATTCTGTTGGTGCTACAAGAGACATCACTCCTTATGTAAGTGTTAGTAATTATTAGTGTAATTATTTTTAGTATATAAGACGTATAAAATTCATATATATATATATATATATATATTACATTAAACGCGTAACGTGAAATATAGCTAAAAAATCCTTTTTATGAGAATCATTGATATCTAAAAGCATTCCAACATTTGCAATTAAATTAATGATTTATTAATAATTAATTACTATTGCTAATATATAGATAAGTATAATTATTTATATATAGATATCTCAATATATATATATATAGAATAGAACG